TTGTATAACTCTGAGGGTCTCCTTCCATTTCCATGCAATTTCCCTTCTCTCTCCCTTTCCCTCCCACCTCTCATCCCTGTTTAATGTTAATCTTCTTCTCATGCTCTTGGACCCTACTCTGTTCTTAGTTACTCTCCTTATATCAAAGAAGACATTTGGCATTTGTTTTTTAGGGATTGGCTAGCTTCACTTAGCATAATAGCAGCTTACATTCTTGACAACGAGAACTAGAGGAGGAAAATTAAAATGGGAACCAACATACCCAATAAGCTTGAGTTCCTGATGCTGTCTTCTCACTCCCTATGCTAGTTGGAATCAGTCATCAGTCAGTGCTTGCTGTTCTTAACATCCTTGTTAAGGGTTTATCACCTACGCCTTTGCCCTGCTTCTCTCCCCTCTTCTTTCCTTTTCCCCTCCTACTTTTCCTTCCCTCCTTCCCTTCTTCCTTCTCTCTTTTCCTCTCTCTCTCTCTCTCTCACAAAACCATAATTTTAAATTTTTCTAAACTTTATTATGCCCTAGTGAAGGAAAAAGAGGTTACACTTTTATCATGCTTCAAGGACCTTTGCTACCCTGAATTGTAAATTAGTTCCCTTTACTGCATTAACATTTCAGGCCACAGGGGCAGGTTTAATGCATTGATTTTGTAAGTTCTGGCTAGATTTAGTGTATTTGTAAAGTTACCTACTTCAGAGAACTGGCCTGCAATTTAAACACTAAAACAGTCAGATTTGGTATCAGAGAAGAGAGCCCTGTCAGAAAGAGCCTTTTATTGTAAGGCTTAAATAGACTTGGTACAGTAGCCTCAGGGAAATCAGTACCAAGAGGTGAGACACCTGCGACTGTAACTGATTCACTGGGTCTCTTGGTGTGAGTCACCTCTCTGTGTATGTATCCCTATTTGGATAATGGGAGCAATAATTTTCTCTAGTATACTTCTTAAGGCTTTAAAAACAATTTAACATACTCTAAATAATACTAATGGAAAACGTATAACTTATATTTATTAGGTATACTATTCTGGACTAGGTATTGCATTCCTCCCCCCTCAATACCCTCACCCTCATTCCTGGCAGTGACTCTGGGAGGTGAGATAAGTATTATCATCACTCTGATCTAAAGACAAAACCTGAAGCTCTGAGATGTTTAGCCTGAACTTAAGATCCCATGCCTAGTCGAGTGGTCTAATTTTCCCAGTAGTGGGGAGAACATAGCTGGACTACAGCTTGCCAATTGGTGGCCTGATACCCTCCTGGGCTTCAGAAGGGTGAAGTACTGGCCCTTGGTGCATGTACAGGGCCCAAGCAGAGTCTCCAGCTGGTTACACGAGGCTCTGAATAGTTTCATTTTGGGTGCAGAGACCCTCCAGATCACCCCAGCATGCCCTAGAAATGTCACCATTCCTTATGTATATCATTACATGAGAAAGACTGCTGAGCTCCAACTAGAATGTGGGTGCTTAGAAGCCTTAGCTGCCAGAAACAGAAAACAAAGAGCCCCCAAAAGCGATGCTCATCACTGACGATGACATGTAATCAGAGATGTTGAGTGCTCAACTTTTCAGCTTTTGACCTCAGAATGTTAATCTATGAGGCTGGTCCTTGAGTTTATAGACAAGTATTTCTGTGTCCCATGACATTTGGTTTTATGTGGCCTGGTATGGTCAGTAGTTATGTCACACCTAACCCCCAAATTCCTCAGTGCCTTTTCAGCCTCTGTGACTCTGTGTTCTGGGCTGCCCTTTATAGTAGATACACCATGCATGGAAAGAGGTCAGAATCATCAAGTGCATTTTTAGTGGGGAAAGAATGGAAAGCAAGCTAAAGACCCCCAAAGAAGCATTTTTAGAGATCTATGAGTTCAGGTTTTGATATATCCTGTTCTTAAAAATAAAGACTAATAATAATAATACCCATAACCCATGCAGCAGGAGTCTTTTCACTCCCCTCTCTGAGACCTACACCAGATCTATCATTCATCTTTGATCATTGAGCCAGAAAGAGTTTATTTAATACTCATTTGAAGGGTTTCCAATGACACTAGCTCCATGGTGTTAATTCCACTTGGCTCAGCTCCTTCTACTCCTAAGGGCTCCACGGGGCCTGAGAGGAGTCCCTCCCCTTTATTGACATTTGATGCTTTTTGAAGGAAGTGATGATCACATTAGTGGTTCGGGCTGAAACCCTAGTCCTCGGCCTGGTCATGTTTCATAACTGTTCTCAGATTGGCCCCTTTCCAAAACCCAGTTTAGTTCAGCTCTTTGCTGGAAAGATAAAGAACATTAGAAAAGCATTGAATCCTGAGAGGGAACTCTTATGGTTATCAAGGTATTACATTATGAAGCGTCTACTGGAGATTCTGCTGCCTTCACAGACACACAGAACTATGTGGGGGACTGTGTTGGACTGTGACTCAGTGCAAGGCTGCCTCATGGCTGCAGAAGAGCCTCCTGGGAGCTTATGAAATACAGATGTGGTACCTGAGCAGGGACTGGGAAGAGGTATTTTTCTAATGTGTACATGAGTTTGGAAGTACAGACCTAGGCTGTCTCATACAGCCTTGCAGTACTGTTCAAACAGTAGCTTGCACCATCCTATCATTTTTTTTCCCTCAAAGGTAAAAATTCATAGCCACTTCATGTGTTTTTTTGACTCAGTTGCCTTTATTTTATGCTGATATAATACAGCCCCCTATGTCCCACCCTTTACCATTTCTTTGATACATGACAGCTTTCTAAGATGAGTTTTAGGAACCAAGGCAAACAGATCAAGACACTAAAGGAGTCTTTGGACTTGTGAGAGGATAATAAACAACATAAATCAGCTATTTCAGGACTTCTTAATTGATCAAACTTAATTGCAGTGGGAGCAGGTGAAATTTGCTGAGAAGTTAGGTAATGCATTGGGGGGTGGGGTGGAGAAACCCCTTGGCTGGAGGCTTGGCAAAGGAAAATGTGTCAGGTGAACATATAAGAAAGCAGAGAGAACATTTTTGCAAAGCTTTGGTGGCCAGGAAGCCTGATAGGTGACAAGAACTACCTGATTCATGGTTTCATCACTGCACAGAGTTTGAGGCAGTACATGCTAGGAATAAGGGTGGACATGTTGGCAGAGACTGGATCATGAGGGGCTTTTGCATCATGTTTGGTGGGAGTACCTTTTGGACCTCATCACCACAGCTTCCCTGCCCCATGTTTAAGGTTCTTTTTTTTTTTTCATAAATACTACCTTGATCTGTATTGTTTTAAAGTCCTCTCTCCTGACAATATGGCATGATGAAATTTCTTATTCTCTTGCAACACCTTGGGAACAGAAGCTAAGTGGTAATTTTCTATATCCCACATGGGGCCCTACTTCTATGTCTCAATTTCTGGCCTTGTTAACATGTTTGTATTTTGAAGCCACAAGTCACCCATCTGTGGGGCTTCTTCCATAAACTCTTTGGAAGCTATCTTATCAAATAGGGACCAGGGAATGAACATCATGGGAATGGTGATGTTGGATAGTTCTGAATATGAGGTCTTCCTGACCTTGACCCCTTGACCTGCCACCCTTCACCCCCAGAGTCAAAGAGCCATGGAGGACATTTGCCCCGAGCTTTGCAGCCAGATTCCTTTTTCTACATAGGCATTCTTCACTCCTCCAATCATTGTCCTTCCATGTGTCTCAGTGTGTTTTCATTCAAACCCAAACTCTTACCAATGCCAACATGAACAGCTTTCCCACCTCTCAGCCTCATCTCAGGCTACTGTCCTTGAACCTAAGCTCTGGCCACTTGATCTTTTTTTCAGATTTTCAAAGAAACAAGCTTTATTCCTACTTCAGACCTTCTGCACATGCTGTTCCTTCTGCCGGCAGAAGTTCTACATCCTCACCCTGTCAAAATTGCTCAAACCTGGAAAGACTTTTTTTTACATCTTTGTTTAAATAAGCCCCCTTCCCCTATATTCTTGACACTTAATATGCACTTTTACATTGTTTTGAATTTTCTCTTCTTCTTTATTGTTAGACTTTCCCTTTATGTTCCATAAAGCAGTGACATTCGTGCCTTATTCACAACTGTTCCCTCCCCACAAGTTTCATGATAAATATTCAATAATTATTTGCTGTATCAGTGGATGGATGATAGACAAATGGATAGATGGGTAGATGGACGGATGGATGGACAGGTGGACAGAGTTGAAGTCTCTAAGTTGAATTCTTCACAAAATCAGCCAGCCATTCTTTATTCACACCATAGCTCCACCAGCCAGACTCCTGGGAATACTTTTCTTCCCCATTAACCAACAAAGTTGCATCTGTTCAGTCACAAGCTCCTGCTTCAGTCTAAACTTCATGTGTTTAATGAAATATATGATCCCTAGGGTTGACACTAATTTACCCACCTCCTGACCTATATAGAGAAAACATATTTTTTGTTAATAACCTTGGAATATATTTTCATTGTTTCCATTTGGATCACTTATCCAAATTTCATCTAAGTAAAAATTTTTTTATTTTTCTTAGGTTTAAAGCAATAAGGATGCCTTCAGAAATTGTGAGCAATACTGAGTATGATGAAATAAATATGAATCCTGCATGATTTCTTCACCCTGAGTTAAACAATATAGATATTCTGTCTGTTTCTATTTAGTGATTTCCTTATATATCACAACTTGTGTGTTTGTGTATATACATATATGAGTATCCTGAATTTTAAATATAATATAAGCTGAATGTGTCCTTGTGTCATTATAAATACTTTTAGAAGCCTGTGGCCATGATAGATTGCAGAAGCAGGACGTGAAACTCCATAATAATTTCAATTGGGTACAAACAAAAAAGTGTGAATCCCCTACAAATACACCCAGCTCAGACGCTGAGTGTCTTGAGCACATGAGATGTCTTTATTAAAAACATTCCTGCCAGATTTCCAGAACAACAAATGGGGGAAAACTTGGCAGACCACTTTCCTCTGAAGAACTAACTATGACAATAACTCATGTTTTCTTTCTTTTCTAGAGTGACCGTCTCCTTATCAAGGGAGGCCGAATTGTCAATGATGATCAGTCCTTCTATGCTGACATTTACATGGAGGATGGCTTGATAAAGTATGTACATAGAACTTTTTCTTTTTAAACTTACTGTCTTCATGGAGGCCTAGAAAGAAGTCTGTATTGCATTAATGAAGTGAAAAATCTAAGTTTGGTTAGCAGGATATTTCTCAAGACTGCTTTGTACAAGCTGTATTGATCAGCACTCTATGGGTCATGGGAAAGTGGCATGTGTGTATTGCTCACAGTTTCTGAAGGCATCACTATTGCTTTAAATCTAAGAAAAATAAAGTCTTTAAAAAGCACCATAAAAATCCCTTGGCCTTGAGTAAAAGGTATCAAAGAAGTTGAAATCAGGATAAGAGAAGTACACAGAAAGATATCCATTTATAGGTAAGGTTTGGGGGATAGTGTATTTATTTATTTTCTCCAGATTTTTATTGGTGCGTTATAGTTGAACATAATGGTAGGATTTGATATTACATATTCATGCATGTATTCAATGTAAGAATATAATTTGGCTAGTATCACTTCCCAGCACTGGCCTCTCAGTGCTAGAAAGTGTATTTAAGTTGAAGTTTGACAAAGGGGTAGGGCTTAGAATGTCAGGGCACAGATTGAACATGGATTTCAGGCATGATTTCCAAATAGATTCATCAGAGAGGTATAATTTCTTTAAAAATAGTTGGCTCTTAGGTGCCTATAAGTGCATACCAGTTAATTTTTATGCATAAGTTCCTTATTTATGAACCTCAAAGAAGGATTTGATTTTTGCAGTCTTGTTTTTTAGGTCTTTAATCATGTACCACAAGTTACACCAATCACACTGATAAGACATTGTATAAAACTGGAGTATCCAATCCATCTTCTTAGCTACCTGTGATCTCATTCAGTTTTATTTTTATATTACTAAACTGCATTGGTTAGTTTAAGATTGTGATTATACGAGACCTCTTATTTATCTTTGAAAAGTTAGCTCAGATATAGTTTTCTGTAGGGAGGCACATGTTCTTATCAAATCCCAAGCCTAAGCTAAGGGAAGGAAGCCTAAGCTTCCCTTTCTGTGTTCTCAAAACATTCTGTGCTTTTATCAATCACAGCAATTCTGTCATAGGTCCCCTTAGAGCAAGGACCATATCTTGCTCATCTCTGTACCCTTGACTCTTAATCTAGTGCTTTAGCACATTACAGATTTGGGTAGAGTTACCTTTTACAGAGTGTGCACTATGTGCCAAACACTGTGTTAGATGTTTTCCATGCTATCTCATTCAGTCTGCCAGCAGCACTGTGGAATAAGTACTATTGTCACCCTCTTTCTTAGGTAAGGAGAAAGAGACACACAGAAAGTAAATAAGCAAAAGGTCAGCACATCTGTGAAATACATTGAATGGCTGGGTGAATGAATGAATGGATGAACAAATACAAAAATATTCATTCATAGTTTCTTTGCAAATTCACATTTTTACTCTTCTATGTTAGAAGAGAAGTGGAAATAATAGGCAAACCACAGTGTAATGCAACAATTTCTTGAAAATATAAACCAAAATTGAGTATATATTTTTCTATGACTAAAAAATTATATTGTTGGAGGTATGCGCTCCCTCACTTAGAGACTTTCACAGATGGAAAAAAATTCAGTACCTAATGCCTCCTCCTCATTTCAGCACTCATGACAGTCATCACTAATTGACCACACAGCTTTTTTTGCAGTTGAACCTAAGATCTTCACATGTTATTTCAGGCATCCACAAGCAGAACTGAATACATAGGATGAATCTTTTTTTCCATGTTTATTAGAAAGACTGCAAAGCCACATGTTGAGGATATTACAGAAGGAATTGACCATCAGTTGTTTGTTCTGTGAGAGAGAGAAGGTTGGGTGAACGTGATCTTTATCCAATCCTGAAAGTTTGTATATCTCTGACAACCTTCTAGCTCACCAATATAAGGACAGAAATAATCTCTTTAATTGTTGCAAAATTGTTTGCCTGTCTGAATATTTATGGAATACTTACTATGAGCAAGGCAGCTGTCTAAGGCACTAGTCATCATGCTTTCTTCCCCAGGGAACTTATAGTCTTTTAGGGAAACTGATATATATATATAATTTATATACAGAGAACCTAACACCATGAGGTATTATTTTATTTTACTAATTTAATACTATCAAGCATTAAATTAGAAAAATAGATGAAATTCAGAGGAGGGAGGGGGCTGGACATTAGTTAGTTATAACAGCTGGTGATTATTGAACTGTAATATGCCTTTAGTCTTGTATAGGCTCAACGGAAACTAACATTTAATGTACATAATTCTATAGAGGACACATTACATTATACAGATGAAATAATTGAGGCATGGTGAGGCTAAGTTGCCCATGGTCACACTGCAGGTGAGTAAGCCGCAAATGGGAAACCAGGTAGCCTCCATCCAGAGCATAGTCACACTCTTCATTACAGACTGGCTGTCAATAGAAACTTGAAGAGGAGGAGATGGATGCTGAAACTTCCAAGAATTATGTGACATTGATCAGGATGGTGGAGAAAAAAGGAGAAGGCATTCCTGTTTCAGACTTGGTGTAATGCTGAATGTCAAAACGGTGAAAACACAAACGTGTGCGTGCACACACACACACACACATACACATACACACACAGGCCAAACAGTTCTTTATCCCCTTGATTCTCAGTTTCTCCCAGAGGAAAACTGATGAGGAAGAAAAATGGGAACAGAACTAGCCAGTATCTGGTCTAGAGTAGAGTTAGGATCAGAGTCTGCATTTTTTCCACAGTGTGTTTTGAATTGTGGCGGCTCTGGAATGACCCGTGGTGATGTGGTAAAGTTGAACTCTTAGAGATGTCAGAAATACTTTAGATGCAGAACTCGAAAGTCTGGCAGGCCAGTGTTGGTCTTCTTACTGCCCCAGGAGAGAGTCTTGCTAGTTGCCTGTGTACAGAAAGGAAAAGTACTCAAGCCACCAGTAGTGGGGTACTTATATATCCAAGATAGGAGATGTCCAGTGATGATGTCGAGGCTATGCATCTGGGTTTTACCTGGACAGTTTTGACCTGCTGTCTAAATCCAGGGTATGAAATCACATAAAAACAAACAAACCTTGGGTAGTCTATAAGGAACAATGTGCAGGGAGCAGTTGCTATTGACACTTTCCTGGTGAGGTGTGCCTTTCAGATGCTGGTCGGCTTACTCCACACCTGAGTCCCCATTGCTCTGAAGCTCCCCAGACCAAGCTGTGTCTTGGGGAGGTTGTCATAATCACCAACCTTGGCTTGAAGCTTCTACAGAGATGCTAACCACACAACAGCAGCTGGTGCTAGAGGCATCCAAATTTTTTACTTTATCCCCTACAAATCTACTACCGGCTGTGGTTGGTGAATCACCAGGGAAAGATCTGGATTGGCAGTGAGGACAGAGGTGGGAAATGACCCAGGCAGAGTCCTTTTATTAGGAGCACAGATGACCTGCTTAGAATGTAACAAAGTTCCCACACCTGTCCTTGAAATGATTCATTGTCTTCTTCTGTCTCTCATAACAATCTAGTAGTTTACACTTCTTCTAGCCTTTCCAAAATTATTCTTCACCCTTAAATGAAGAACAAAAGGAACATGTTTATTTTTTCAAAAATGTTCATTACACACACTATATTCTAGACACTGTCAAACCACTGCAGTTATGGTCCAAAACCAGGACACATAGTCCCATAACAGATCATTTCATGTCAATAAAAACACATGTTTTCTGTATATATAGCTATCATTGTTTAAAGATTGCTAGACTTGTGAGTCATTTGCAAAGACTACTTCAACAAATATATTACAATGTTTAAAATGCTATGTTTGTCTGGTCTTTTAAATTGCTGGTTGTTTCACTGTCTCACCAGGCAAATTGGAGACAATCTGATTGTCCCTGGAGGAGTGAAGACCATCGAAGCCAATGGGAAGATGGTGATCCCTGGAGGCATCGACGTCCACACTCACTTCCAGATGCCGTACAAGGGAATGACCACCGTGGATGACTTCTTCCAAGGCACAAAGGCTGCCTTAGCAGGTGGCACCACCATGATCAGTAAGTCTTCAGATTTTGCACACTCCTGATGCCCCAAGGTGTGTGCTTTACAACTGTACCAACCAAAGTGCTCCCTGATGGTATCTGGTATGCTTCTTTCAAGACATTTTACCTTATTGGACCTGAGAAAAGCAGGTTGGTCGAAGGAAATTGACAGCTCCGTGTAGCTGTGTAGAGGACAGTCATGAAGCTCATGATCATAAATGCAGCTAAGAGAATGATAATTCACAGAGAGAATGATAGTTCAGACTTGCAGTTCTTGGGAAAATAGTGGGCTTCAGTGGATTTAGTGCTATTTCATCTGTGCTGTATTCGGACCAATTTGTATCTTTAAGATGAGGCAAAGCTGTGAGAGTGGTTTTCCTTGTGTTTTGTTTTTTGGTTTTGTTTTGTTTCTGGTAACTTGTAATTCCAAAGAAGCCTAGGGAGTTGCATGCCATTGGATTACCGAACCCATAGCATTCCAGGGCAGTCCTTCCTGTCCTGAAGCAATCTCAATGAATTGGGCCCTATTCCGGCACTGGCTCCAAACTTGGTCAACCAGAGCACTGTTTATTTTAACATCATATACATCCAACCCTGCGTAGGGAACAGCCTGAGCCCTAGAATCACCCACTGCTCATGCACCTCTTTTGGCAGGGTTCAGCTTTAGCTAGTTGGGTGTGGAAGCCCAGGAAAACTGCATCAAGGCCATAAAAGGTGCAGTCCAGGGAGATGAAAGCATTTCTCCAGTCCCAGGGGAAAGCAGCTGACTTCTTGGCTGTTGCTGCCCATGAAAGCCCTGGTGTTGCTCCAGACATTAGCGATGTCGCTGCTGCATGCATTTGCTTTCCGATAAGTGCACTCAGGCTGCCTTTGACACAAGGCAGAGAAAGTGAGTGATCTTGTCTTGGCTTTCTGCCATGTGGGCGCACAGTGGGACCTGCTCAGCTAGCCTGAGATGCACATCCTGCTTGAACTTTTGTGTTAGGAATGGGTGAAACCAAGATCTGGTGACAAGGGTAAAGCAGAGCAGGAGCCACAGAAAGCTTTTGTGTCCCTCACAGGTAACTTAGAAACCCTAAATATGCAAAATAAATAGATAAATAAATAAGAAACCTTATGATCCCACATCACTGTTAGAGTTGGCTGTCTACACACATTTTCCCCATTTAACAACAATAATCATCATATTTGTACTGTATTTTAGCCTGACGTTTTCACTAAATTATATATCCTGAATATCTTTCCACTCTTTATTTTTTTTTCCCTACCACAATATTTAAAAACGGATGCCTAACCATTGATTTATGTATTTAAACAAACTTCCCTATTATTAAAGGCTTGAATTATTTTCAGGTTTTCCACTTATATAAATATATTAGCACAATCCTTGAAACTGAAATTTTGCATACATAATAATAAATAAGCCACACTTATTTCCATAGGAATAACTCTTAAGCATGGGAATAATTATTGAATTAAGGTATGAAAAATGTCCATATTTTTTATATATATTTCAAAATTGTTCTCAGGAGAGTTGTACCAATTCACACGTTACCTCAGCTGCCCAGGGGAGGGGGGAATATGAGAGAGGAACTTTTACATTATCCCCACCAATTGTAGATGTGGTGATTTTTTTAAAAATTATTAATTGTTGCAGGGGAAAGAGTAGTTTTGGACCACAAAGAAACTGGATTCTTACCAGAAAATTCACATGTAAATGAGATCTTTGGGCCTCAGTTTCACTTACCTGATGCCGCCCTTTTTGCATAAGTAAACAGAAGCACCTTGATTTCTTGTACCTGGTGTAGCTTTAAAGTGCTTCCTCCCACCCTGGGAAGAGAGCCCAATTTTATCAACAGTGACTCGGCCCTGTAATAACAGCACCTAGTGGGCATTCATTGCTGGCTAACATTTACTGAGCACTTACCACGTGCCCAGCATCAAGTAAAGCACTTTACATGACTTTTACCATTTAGTGATATAACAAACTGAGATGGAAGATGCCATTACATCCTGTTGTCCACCTTGTCACCTGTTTCGAGGAGAGAAAACAGAGATTTAGAGAAACTAGTAATTTGTCCCAAATCCCATAACTAAGAGACATTTAACGCTTCAGCATTGTGGAGCTATCAGGGAACACTTTCTAAGTTTAATGTCATAGTTAAGCAAGCAGGCACAGGCCTGGTAGGGGGAGCGGACCCCTGTCTAAGTCACCATCTGGGTCTCTATCGTCCAGTTGACCACGTGGTGCCGGAGCCTGAGTCTGGCCTGACGGAGGCCTATGAGAAGTGGCGTGAGTGGGCTGATGGGAAGAGCTGCTGTGACTATGCCCTGCATGTGGACATCACCCACTGGAACGACAGCGTCAAGCAGGAAGTGCAGAACCTCATCAAGGACAAAGGTCAGCCCCAGCGTGCCCTCCTCCCTCTTCCCTTGGCTTCTCCTGCCTCTCCATCCCACATTGTCCACCCAATTGAGTCACTTCTTGCTTGGAGTCTTGAACATTACACATAAGTACTGGATGTAGGAGTTCTACTTTGTTACTCAATCTTACTTCCCACAGGATCCTCATGAGCTGGAGATCATTACTCCTGCTTTGCAGATGGAGACGCTCAGGGTCAGATTAAGTGCCTAAGATCACAGTGTTAGTAAGCAGTAGATCTATCCAAAGTCAATGCTGTTCCCTTCTGGGCAGTGTTACTCATTTTTTTTCAGAGGAAAAATCTAAGGAGAGTTTCACTTACCCAACAGAAGGTCACATGGTTAGCAAATATGAAATTAGGAATTTTTTTAGCCTCTATTATTTTGACTCCAGAGTCATAAACCATTATTATTAGATAACAATAGCATCCTAAGGAAAGGAGCAAAGATATGCTGGTACATGGGCTAGGAACATAGGATATGAAAATTGTGTATGTGTGTATGTGTGTGTTCTCTCAATGAGGACATGATTTAGGTCCCATTATCTTATTAGAGTCTTCTGTTCTCTACTTCTTTCTATGATTTGGTCTTTAGCTCTTCAACACATGTACCCACATACCCGACACATGCACACCTAGGTACCATGTGCTCAGCACTGTGAAGCAGCCCAAAGGATTTAGGGAAGTTCAGGTGCCTCTGCTGAGCATCCAATGCAAAAGGAAGCCATCCCAAGCAGAGCAACAGAACACATGCCTCAAGATGCAAGCATGGTTATCATATTAGTTGTCTAGACAATGCTAGGAGCTCAGCAAAGAGTGTGTGCCCGAGTTGAGGGGAAATGATGAACTCTCAAAAGATGAGCTGTTCTTTCTATCCATCTCCTTTCTCCCAAGCCCTACCCAACCCTTGGGGACACAGAAAGTGACATTAGCTCCCTCCCTTCTCTCTGTATCTTCTTTTACTCAGGGTATCTCAACAGGGGTAGAAAGTTGAGTGGTTTTAACAACCACATAGGGTCGGGTCACTGCATGGGTGACATAGAGGCTTTCGGGAAGAGTAGTGTTGGGGAAAACTGCCCTGAGTTGAACCACTCTGGGTAGGGATGTTCTCAAATTATAATCCATTTTTGGCCTGGAACACTGTGGGCTGAGATGGCCTTAATGGTTAAAGACCAAAATTGTCTTCCTTTCCTCAAAATGATCCCCTATTCCCAAGTCCCACCTATTTATTTTGGGTGAAAATTAAATAGCTCTTTCCTTATAACTCATATGACTTAGGTATTAAAAACTTGCTTTCTGCCTCTATTAGCTCTTCTAGTTCCCAAATTTGGGATTGATCTCTCTCTCCCTCTCTTTTTCCCTCTGATACCAGAGATTAAACCCAGCAGTGCTTAACCACTCAGCCACATTCCCAGGCCATTTTTGTTTTTCATTTTGAGACAAGGTCTTGTAAAGTTGCTTAGGGCCTAGCTAAATTGCTGAGGCTGACTTTGAACTTGCCGTCCTCCTGCCTCAGCCTCCTGAGCCGCTAGGATTACAGGTGTGTGCCATACTTGCCTGAAGAACAATTCTTAAAACTGCATGTAGGGCAAATATCTTTTTGTTACAAAATCATGAGGAGTATTATTAGGTTGACATATCCAGATTTGAATTTGAACTTTGCTCTTTAAACAAACTGTAGAGAATGGAAAGCAAAAGTAGTTTTTCTGTTTTTGTTTTTTTACAGAAAACAGTATCTATAGATATAATCAGAAGTACAAATTCGTTAACCAGAAAAGATTCCTATGCCTGCTGGCATCTTAGAAGCAGGTTTTAAAGAGTTTAATTTTGTTTCCTTCATTCTCCTCTTGGACACCACACCCTGCACAGGCATGGTGGTGGAGAAAGCATTCATTAATAGTGAGATAAACATATCCCAGGAGACCCATCGTGGAGACCAGCATTCTGTCAAAATGGATGCTCAGAACTCTCCTTCATTGTGTTATCAACCATTGTCAACCACTGTTTTGTATCGAGTGTCCAACACAGAGGTAACAACACATGTCAATGTGCACAGCCACCTTATGAAGTAGGATATTGTTATTTTTCCATTTTATGGATGAGGAAATCAAGGCCCAGGGAGTTAAGTACTCTCAACTCACTGAAATATGTGGTGGATCCACTCACCCCAGTGAGTGACCACAGCTACTGTGCTAGACTGATTCTCCATGGTGTCTGCTGCTTGGGGGCAATGTCTAAGTTTATTGGCCTCCTGGGCTGCTGTGCTGGAGGTGGAAGGTGAAAAGTAGGGCAGAAGAAGAGACCATTCTGCTTTGACATCATTTAGGAACTACTGATTTTTATAGGAAAGGGGCGGGTATAATAGAACGTTCTTGGAGGATTCCAAGTATCGGCTTTATATTGAACAAGCACCTGAGTAATGTGCTTGGGTCCCATGGGTGACAGAGTGGGAGTAAAGATGAAGGGTGGTTGTGATAATGTCTCCTGTTTTTTCTCCCGTCCCTGTCTTGCAGGGGTTAACTCCTTCATGGTTTACATGGCCTATAAGGATTTATATCAAGTGTCCAACACAGAGGTAACAACACATTTGCTATGTGGTTTGGGGTATTTTGACAAATTTCATAGTGTTGCTGTTGACCTTGGCCCTTCTGACATGAGTCACTGTGGTCACTGTGGGAGACTGCTGGGCGAGCGTGCTTCTTGAAGTCCTTGCAGTCCATGCTGCATTAAAAATAAGGTAATGGGCAGGGTGCCTATGGCAAGACAGAGAGCTAGATTTCCACTAGGAGCAGCTTTCTTGAAGGCAAAGAGGAAGGGCGTGCCTAAATCTCCATCTATAGCATGATCCCTTATAATCTCATTGGAAGTGCGGGGCTCTTTGCCAACAAGATCGGGAGGGCCTCCTGCCATTTGGACTAATTGTACCAACTTGCCTCTGACTCTGTCCCTAGAAAGTCATGTCATGTGTTGGTGTTAGACCAATCTCCAGTATCACAGAAAATGTAAGAAATTAGTTCCCATGCCTCCTGGTTAAAGGGTGAAGGTAGGTCTGTCTTGAGTCGTTCAGAGATAAGGGTTTCATGTTTTGTGTTAGCTGTGACAGGGCTGTTAATGCCTTTCTGGAGCCCTTGTTGAGAAAGATTCTAAAGCTGTGTCTCAGCTCAGTAGGAAGTGATTCCATTAAAAATGTGTGTCAGAGGTAGAGGAGAGGGGCCAGCAGCACTTTGTCACATGTTTATCCTGCCTCTCCAGGAGTCAGGACAGCTTCTGCATTTAGATAGGACCTCCGAGAGAGTTTCTTTGGACTACACTCCTCTTTGCTCATGCATATTTTAGTCTGTTTTCCTAGTTCCTGATATCTTCTGGTTTATTCCATTTATTTTAGCTCTGGCTTTAGTAATTGGTCTTTATGTGAAGTTGCTCAAAGTGGCTGTGAAGGGGACAAAGATTCATTTCTATTTCAGCTCTATGAGATCTTCACCTGCCTGGGAGAACTGGGAGCCATTGCTCAAGTCCATGCCGAGAATGGAGATATCATTGCCCAGGTAACCCCGTTGCTCTCTGGGGCATGCTTTCTGTTTGGGCGTTGCTTTCTGGGTCTGCTTCCATTTGTTTCCTTATTTGTTCAGCGTTGCTTCAGCTCTCAGCATGTGCAAGGCTCCATCATAAGCAGGTTACTAATGGCAGAACTTGCCCTGAAGAATCTTACAGTCTGCACAAAAGGTGAAAGGAGGCGGGATGAAGACAAACACAGAGAAACTAGAAGATGCTGTACAACAGGAAGCCGTCTGGCCCTCCTGGAGAATCAGAATGGGAATTTTGAAAGAAGAGGCTTTCAATTTGGGCCATTTAATGGGAAGGCAGTGCTGATTCTCTCCTGAAAATGAGTCAAAACTGTAGAACATTCTCTGTCCTAACGAAAAACCCTAAGGCAGCATTTCTCAGAAGCCAGGAATCCAATCCAAGTCTGGTGAACCTACTGCCTTAGATAATAAAATTTAGGTCTTGGGGGAATCAGAAATCTCATGCATTTCCTAGAAATCACATTGAAAAACCAAGGAAAGACTGAAGAAAGCAGAGGCCCCAAGGCCCAATTGACCATTTGTAAGGAAGCAGAGAACCACTCCCACTCATCTCCTGGGTTGCTTAATGGAATAGATGAACAGATGTGTCCTAGGCAGGGTTTGCTTAATCTCAGGAACATTCAGCATTGGCCTCTGCTAGGAGGAAGCAACCAAGATAGAAGAGGGAGCTCTCTCAGTCTACTGGCTAGCACCAGTGAGAACCATCATTCATTCTTTGAAAGAGTGTGTCCTGAGTACTTTGCACCAGGCACTGGTCTATAAAAGTGAGCCAAAGCGGATGCATTCCATACTCACAAGTACCAGGCTGTGCCTTCATTTCAGATGTCTGGGACTTGGTGAATGTGACTGGCAGGGGTGTGGAGCCATGCCTAGGCAGACCCTCATCTCAAACCCATTAGCTTCCTAGCAGGTGCCGTTTGGTGAACACTTTCTACTGCGTGCCAGGCACTGGTGAGTGCTGTAGTGTATTCTCATTTAGTTTTCTTCCAGCCCTCCAAAGATGCTACTATCCTCCCTGTTTCATAGACAAGAACATTGAGGCTCAGAGGGATTGACCCAAAGATCACAGGAGATAACTAGGAAAAATAGATGTCAACCTCTAAAGTGATTTGCCTTGGGGGGCATCTTTACCCAGAGATGGTGTATCTGGGGTACCTTGCTTCTCAAGCCCAGTCACAGGCCCCCTGGGGACACAGTGCCCCTGCAGTGTGCTCCAGCTGTTGTGATTTCAGACTCTGAATGCTCTCGCTTGTAGGGGAGAGGAGCCAACTGTGCAGTTTCCTCTCACTTATGACCAAGGAGACTAATTAGGACCCTAGCAGTGCATCCCCCACATACCCAGACATAGTGAAATCATTTTCCATAGAGGGCCCAGTTGCCTTGCTCCGGGGGGGGGGGGGGGGTGTTTCAGGACTGCTAGTCCTCTCTCGTCTCCAAGTGTTCAGTTGGGGAGCCAGAGGTCCCAGCCCGCCCCCCCAGCTGGAATCCAAACTCCTGGCTCCTTCATTCCAGCCTCAGTAGAGGCAAAGGGACTCCAGCCCTCAGACCCTCATCTCAGCTCCTTTCCCCTTGTGGCCTCTCAGGGCAGACATTTGTTTCTCTGGTCCCCCTACACCCCCACTCTTCTCCTACCTTGGGGAGATCTGTTCTCAGTCAGGAAAGGAATAAGGGCATGTTTCCATTTGGATGAGTTTCTTTGTGTGTGTTTATTAAATTCAGCTTGAGCTGAAAGATTTTATCACATTGTCTAAATGGAGACAGCTGCTGTACTGAGTTTCTTGGTGCATTTCTGCAAGTGATTTAAGAGTGAGAAGTCTTTTCCTCTGGGTACCAACAAGGGCAAGTTTCAAATTTTCAAATTGGCAGATAGTCTGAGAGGCCTACTATGTGCCAGGCCTTGGAGAGAGAGGATGAAGAATGGGCTCCTTTTCTCACTGGCACAAGCCACAAGGGTTCCATGACCACATCTGATATTTGGTTGTAACTGATGAACGCCTCACTGCCCTGGACCCCAGTGTCAGGCACCATTGATGGGTCTTCATGTTGCCATTTCTAATCTTGCAGCTGTAGGAGAACCATGGATTTTAGAGTAGGGCTTTCCAACATGAGCAATACATTAGAATCACTAGGTTTTATGGATTCCAGAGATTCTGATTGAGTAGTTCAGTAGTAGGGTTCAGGAAAGTGTACGTTGAAGATGTATCCCTGGTGAATGTATTTGGAAATGACTGCTTGAGCTAGCTTCACCTTCTGCATTATCCTTGCACACCTGTACCATGCAGAAAGCGAGTGTCGTGTAATTCCCAAGAAGCTCTGGCTGTGAGCCTTCACCTTTAATTACTTGGGGCAATTCAGAGTGAATACCCACAAGAGTTTGGAAGAAATATTATCCAGTCCAGACTCAACCAATGAAAACTACAAGAATGAAAAGTGGAGGTGCTTCATCAGGAAAAAATCAGTTTCTGACCTTGTTGGGTTTCTTTTTTCTTCCCTTTTTGTATTGGTTTTAGTACCTGCATTTGCATTTTCCTTTTTATTCCATAAAAAAACAAGAGGAGTTCTTTTCCAGGTGGTCATAATTCTTTCTTCTAGATCTCATAGTTGCAAAGTGAGACAAGGCTTGCTCCATTCACCATTTCCCCTGCAATACCAGAATACTCCCAGGCCATTAGGCTAGGCTTGCTGGAGCAGAAGTTCTTAGGAACCAGTTATTTCAGAGTGAATGCCAGCAAAACTGTAGATGTAGTGGCTTAGAGTTTCTGCCAGTTCCAATTAGCCCCTGTGTGTGTTCACTGCCCAGCCACCTGCTTCTTTGTGAAAGCTGGCCAGAAGTCAGAGGAATTTAGCAACCAACCACGAGGGGCAGGCAGTTCTGCAGTATCCACAATGTAGTTAAATAGAATTTGAACCAAAACACTAATTTAAGTAATGCTGTCTAGAGGCATTATTTTGTCTGGTTAAATTCTGAATCCATTAATTTAAGCCACGGTGTTAAAGCATAAAAACTGAGAGGGGTTTGTTAACTGTAGATTGCTAGGATTCAGCCTTGCATCTTCTGATCTGAAGGCCAGAATAGGGCCAGAAATCTTCATCACTACAAAAGCATCTCAGGTGATTGTGATGTAGGTGGTGGGTGAACCACACTTTGGGGAATGCAGCACTAAACGGTAAACTCCATGAGGTCAGAGGCTGTATCACTTTAATTCAAGTGCTTAACCCAGAGCCTAGCATGAAGCTGATATTCAGCCCATTTTGTTTAATAAAAGGGTTTAAAGTGCATGAATGAACAAACCAACAAGTTAAGCAAGCATATGCTCAGAGGCAGCTGAAATAGATGACAAGTAAGTGATTTGATGTGACTTCTGATGCTTAATGCAGACAAAAAGTGGACCCTTTAATAGACTCACTGTCTTCCTCCTAATAAAAGGAAACCACGCTTAAATTTTTCCCCCACTTTTTAGTTAAGACTCTACCCTATATTTTAATTCTAAATATAGAATTAATATATTTGTTTCAGAGACATTTTTTCTTCTCAAGCACATTTTTTGATCAGAACATACCAGTGTAATTTTTTTTTTTTTCAAATCTTAGCTAAACTCGTTGAAGAATTTTAAAACTTTTTTTCTCATTCTAGGAGCAAACCCGGATGTTGGAAATTGGGATAACTGGCCCAGAAGGACATGTTCTGAGCAGACCAGAGGAGGTATGTTACAGGGCTGGAGGCCTAGGGGGTAGGGAAGGGGAGACAGAAGCAGTAGCAATGGGGGCTCTCTTTTTTACCAGAATCTTCTGGGAGACTCTTTTTATCACAGTCCTGGCCACCTAGCCATGGCCTGCCACTCCTTTGATTTTGAAGTGTTTCTGTTTGATCTTTTTCCTGAGCCACACATATACAAAGGTAGGAGTAAATATTGCTGAAAGGTGGTGAGAATTTATAAATACCAGACAGCAGTATTGGAACATTTCTTTCAAAGACTACTTTGGACTGATCCTGGCTCAAGGGCTGTGAGAAAATTAGAAAGGAATGTAAAGGAGATACTTCCTTTTGACCCCTTAATCTCTCTAAAGATAATACAAGTTGCAGTGTCCTCGGATTTTCAGTAGGAATGTTAAGTTTCTAATTTCTTTCTTCATCATTGTGAATCTTGGAGACATTTGTACTTATTCTTTATTTCATTTTGTGTTTTGAGTCTTGCAAAATTTTGCCTGTGAGTTTTTCACAGGGACCATGCCCATTGATTTGCATAAGGTGATGATTATATCCTGGTATGGAAGTTTCCCACATATAAAATAAATGATGATGTGCACCTATGTTTAGCAGCTGAAGAAGCCAGTAACTAGTGACTAGTGACTAGTGACTGATTACATTTCTCTGGGATGTCCACAACTTACCTGCTGGCATGGGGCATAGAGCTGAGGCTGCCATACGGCTGCAACTTGGCTTTGGGACAGCAACCAGGGACGGGTACCTGGAGTGAATTTAAAGCTCTTCATGTCAGTGAAGCAAATCCTGTTTCTGTTGTTGTTCCAAACTATACAAGAGGTAAAAGAAAGAATCAAAACCAGAAAAGATGCCATTCCATTGCACATTGCTTCTAGAGCTTTTTTTAAAAATTGAAATGTAATCAACAGATACAGAAAATTGTTCCTGTCATAAGGATGCAATTGCTTTTCACAAATTGGATACACTTGTTCAAGAAGCACACAGGTGGTGATAGAGAACATTATCAACTCCCAGAAACTCCCTGGTGTCTAATAACATTTTTGTTGCCCATTGAAATAATGTATAAGTTTGTGATCGGGATTCTAATTGTACAAGGTGTTCCTGAGAAGTCTGTCTCTTTAGTAATTCTGGGTGCTTTGGAAAGCTTACACACCTGACTGAGTCTGTAGTAACTGCATAGATTACCTCAGTTATCCTTGCTGCTGCTCTAGGTAGTTGGCATTGTATTGCACAGGTAAAGAAGCTGAGGCTCAGAGAAGTTAAGCGACTGACTGATCATGTTTGAAGGATTGGAAAATCATTTATGCAGTGTGAGCAGGCCAGAATGATCAGCACTGTTTGTGAAACTTTGTAAATGCTGGTCACTGGAGAGATGTGCTGGCAAGACGGATTTCTTCAGCAGCAGCCAGGGGATTTCAGAACAAAGTCTATTTTTGTTCCTTGGTTTGTTTTTTCAACCTCCTCCCCACCCCCACCATCCCAACCTTCTCTCAGTTCTGTCTCCTTTTTAGTAAAAAAAAAAAAAAAAAAAGCCTCTGAACTGCAAATCTCTACAACCCTGGAAACCCTTTTGGGTGAAGTTGGAAGGTGATGTAACCTTCCAAAGATAGTCATGTTGTCGAAGTGTGGAAGAACCTGCAGTTCTGGAGGGAATGACATCAAAGGGGTCAGGGCTGAGGTCAAGGGGGAGCTGAAGTGGTCAGCAAAGGCGTGAGGGGGTAGGAATGAGTGTAGGAGGGGCTGACCCCTCTTCAACTCAGAGCACACGCAGATTCCATCTCAAGTGATGCTGTTCAGAGTAGAACCCCAGGCACAGAGCAGCCGCTCCAGGGTAGGGCCTCTGGGTGCTCCAGATGGGAGACTGCATTCACCTGCACTAAGGGGCCTCCAGAATCTTGTCTGCATGGAATGAAGTGCAGGTTGAGGGTCGCCAGCTCAGTCATCAAGTTCCTGGAGCCTTTCTACTGATCTGCATCCACCACAAATAGTCACTGGTTTGCATTATACAACCACTGGGCATCTGCAAGCTATTTTTGGTGTTTTTTTTTTTTTTAAAAAAGCTCTGGGCTGCACTAGCAAACCAGAAAGTCATATCCATACAAAAGGGATCTGTTGCTGATTGAATGGAAAAATGCCAATGTCTCTGCTCTGGGCTCAATTGAACTAACTGGGGCTTTGGGTAGTAACACAGACTCTCACCTGGTCAGAAACTGTGATCAGCAGTAAGACCTAGAGCCACTCCTCAAAGGACACTTGCTTTGGCCCACAAGTGGGAGGATTAACTCATTTAATCCTCCCAGCAGCCCTGATTGACAGGTCCTGTTAGTATCCCCACATCAAAGACAAGGAAATAAGGTATTGAGAAGTTGTGCAAGGTACCTGAAGTCACACAGCCTGAAGCAGAATCAGGACTCAGAATCAGGCCATGCGAGAGAGCCTGAGCTCTCGGATCCTACTTTGTTAATAAAATAAGGGAAAACACATTACTTCTTGCTTAATAAATGCAACTGGGTTACTTAGCATATTTGAAAACTTGAATTCTACACTAGGGTGGGATGGAAGAGATCAATAATAAAAGAAGTCTTTGTGCTGAGAAGCCTGGGAATTATTTTTATAAGAAATGCCTCCTCGAATTAACCCTTTGCTGACCACCTATTGCTGCAGGGAAGGATTTGAGGAGCCACATGCCTAATTGCCTTTACTGGTTATTCCAGAGTGGATGGTGTGGTGATTGTATTTTCCCAAAGAATTTGCCCTGAGAAGACTAGGGAGCAGAGGCCTCCGTTTGGGTGCAGTATTTGTGATACCCCAGGGAAAGGAGAGAGGAGGTACAGGGAGAACTCTGGCTTTCGGGAGATCAGTACTTTCTCTGTTAAGTGATGATCTCAGGCAGCAGTCCTGTGCTTCACCCTCTCTTACCTCCATTTTACCAGGGAGGGTGGAAGCACCAAGGAGCTAAGTGAAGAGACACAGCAGGAGGGGGTGGGTCTGAGGCCATCCTGTTCCAGACCCTGCCAGGGTTTGAACCTCTGCATTGCTCACAGTATGTGGAGGTGCTGCGTGACAGGGGTGAGGCTCAGGTTCCTATTGACTCCTGGAAACATTCTTTTTTTCCTGCAGCTGGAAGCTGAGGCTGTGTTCCGTGCCATCACCATCGCCAGCCAGACCAACTGCCCCCTCTACATCACCAAGGTCATGAGCAAGAGTGCAGCCGATCTCATCTCACAAGCCAGGAAAAAAGGTGATTTGTGCTTCTAAGATCTCAGAGCCAGTGATGTACTGCAAAGCCCCTTTCCTCCCTGGCTGGTCCATCCTTCCTTCCCTGGCTGGTCCATGTAATATCAGTGCTCACTGCCTTATTGCCTTGCTCTCTAGAGAGCCTCTGCTACACCCAAGATCTTGAGATTTCTTCCACCTGTATATGAGCAAACGGAGGCAGTGATTTGTCTAAGACAACACAGCTCAAATCAGTTCTTCTGAGACTCAGTGCACCTTCCTTCCTCTTTTTGATCTGTCATTTTCGGTTCACATTATCTGAACTTTATAAATGGACTTATTAGTCTCCATTGCACTGATTACCCCCAACTGGCTTCAATAAGCAAACAGAAGTCAGTGGTTGGTTGTGGGTATTTCAGGCATAGATCGATTGAGGGGCTTCAACAGTGGCATTAGGACTCTATCAATCTTATTCCCTTCTTGACTCTCTTTCCTGCCTGATGGCTTTATGTTCAGTAGGTGACAAGAATAGAAGCCAGGAGACACCTTTTTTCTTCAGTTCTTGGTGAGACATGATGGAGAAGTAGAACATATCTTTTGCAGCAGCTCAAGCAATAATGTCCAGGAGCATGTAATTGTCTTGGTTGTGACCATATTCACATCACTGCACCAAAGACAGCTGTGGGGATGGATGGTCTAATGTGGCCAGGATTGGGGGCAGAATGCAGGGACAGGGCCCCACTGCCTGAGCACACAGTTTAGCACAAGGTATTTTAGCAAAGGGGCTGAATGGGTCTCCAGAGGATGTTTAAAACAATGGCTTCATGACCTGGGGCTCTATCCCTGTCAGCTTCTGCCTTCTCCTTTTCTCCACTCCTGTTTACTTGGGTTTCAGTTGCTTGGCTTGTGCTTAGCTTAAGTGTACTCCCATTTCAAAGCTCTCTGTTTTTGGTCCCTGGGCTCGATTGTGAAGTCGGGGAAATGAACGGTATGGTGGAGAAGCTGGAGATAAAGGTTCTGTGTTTGGTTGTGAAAGAGAATTGACCTTGCCTAGTTGTTCAGTGGCTACTGCTGTGTAGTGTCAGTGTCCGCCCTGGTGGTGGAGAGACCCAAGATGAGTGATTCATCTGCCCAACTAGTCTAAAAAACTCCATGTGTGGGTGAGTGACTGGAGTGGCTAAGAATAGTCCCAGCTGATGGCCAACTGGGTTTTCAATTGCCTGGCCTCTGGCTGAGAGTAGTCCCTTTCTTATGGGAAGGAGTCTTATCACTTGTCTGAGGTAGGTTCTGAGGCATCTTCAACCTCCTCATGTTCATAGTAGACTTGCTGTTATCTCTTGCAGTATTTAAATGCCTCCAGTGAAATAGCAGTTGTTCCCCTGGGTGGTGTGAGTCATTGGAAAGCAGGAAAGCAGCCCAATGTTCTGTACCCATTCTTGGTGGTGGAGACAGGGAGAGAGAAAGGAGAAACTGTATGGGCGCCCCCATCCCTACCACGCTGGCCATAAACACCCACCATCTTCACCCTCTCATGCCTTCTGTCTGACGGCTTTATCTTGCCTGGGACTCATCACCAGGATATCCTGGGCACCCCGGAGCATGGGACATTTCAGTTGTATGCTGGTCTTATTTCAAACTTCATAGAGAAAATTCCTCCTCCTTAGTCTTCTGGCTCCTGATTCTCTGGCAAGAGAACTTGTGCAGCTGTGCCTCCAGGGTGGAAGGGAGGTCCTATTTCAGTGATGAAAAACTGGCTGCTGAGATTGAAGCCAGTAAACATCTCATAGATTGTCATTCTCAGGGAAGAGCCTTCCAAGCAGGAAGGCAGAGGCTCACAGTGCTTACTCTTCCCTTCCTGACCATGTTTCTGTTTAAGTTCTTGTAAGTTTAATCACCTACCACCAGGACTCTTAAGCAGCTCAGCATGGCTGCCCAGAATTAATATTAAAAAGCTACAATTTAATGAGAACCAACTCTAATACCCAGCACTGAGATAAATACTTTATATTTATTATTATGCAGAATTCTTAAGGAACTCTGAGGCATGTGCTGTGGGCACTGCCATCACCCTTTTCATTTGTAGGAATTGTAGTATGACCTGTTTAGATGTCCCAGGTAGGAGAGCTAGTACTCCTAGTGACAATCTTTGTTTTTTATATTTCCATGCTAAGTGTAGCCCAAAGAGACAGTTCCTCCATTGTTAAGGTTGCATTTTTTCTCAATAGTAGTTGAGTGCTTGCCTTGAATTTCTTTTTTTTTTAATGGTCAAAAAACACTTTTATTTATTTTTTTCTTTTTTTTATTGGTTGTTCAAAACATTACAAAGCTCTTGACATATCATATTTCATACATTAGATTCAAGTTGGTTATGAACTCCCAATTTTACTCCAAATACAGATTGCAGAATCACATCGGTTACACATCCACATTTTTACATAATGCCCTATTAGTAACTGTTGTATTCTGCTACTTTTCCTATCCTCTACTATACCCCCTCCCCTCCCCTCCCATCTTCTCTCTCTACCCCATCTACTGTAATTCATTTCTCTGCTTGTTTATTTCCCCATTCCCCTCACAACCTCTTATATGTAATTTTGTATAACAATGAGGGTCTCCCTCCATTACCATGCAATTTCCCTTTTCTCTCCCTTTCCCTCCCACCTCATGTATCTGTTTAATGTTAATCTTTTCTTTCTGCTCTTCCTCCCTGCTCTGTTCTTAGTTGCTCTCATTATATCAAAGAAGACATTTGGTATTTGTTTTTTAGGGATTGGCTAGCTTCTCTAAGCATAATCTGCTCTAGTGCCATCCATTTCATTTTTTCATTTATTTGTGGTCCTGCATACTTTAGTTTGGTCAATATTTTTAGAGAGCTCTTGAAATTCTCCTAAGTTACATGTTGATCCTTTTTATGGGCACCCCATAAAAACAGGGCTGCTATATGCAAATCACACCATTGCTTTCTTCTTTTGCCTATGGCAAACATCACTAATCAATCAGAAATCTATTTTAGTGAGACCAGAAGCATTATTAAGATTCTTCCCTACCTATAATTCTAGATAACCATTACCAATTGATTGGAATTGAAACAAAGCAAAATTTCTTGATAATCCTGGCCATAGAGCCTCCCAGAATGTGACCATATACAAACTTTGATGGTGAAAGATGGATGACCAAAGACTGAGGGTTTATACAAAGCATCCTTGGCCCAAGGTGCTGGCATAGATTAACTTGGTACCAACCAACTTTCTATGAGACATCTTTTGCCTTCTGTATCATTGTCTCTTCTTCCTTAAGAAGCTCAACTAAAGCTTAGATCAGTGTATTTTCTATTTTCCTTCCTCACCTGATTCCCCTGGTTCCTGTCACAGATTTCCAGAAGCCAGCCTCATCATCTATGGCCACATGTCAGGTGTTTGGGTCTCCTGGAGCAAGTCACTTCTTTCCTTAGATTAAGAAGTAACAAACTCAATGAAAATACTCATGAGAGCTCATGGATTTGACTTTCTGGAAACAAAAGTGTGATCTTATAAAAAAGAATCTAGCAATTCCCATTGATGCAGGGCACATTCAGGGCTTTGAGCACTATAATGGAAAAAAAGTGGGAGGTAAAGAAATATGTATTTCCTGAGAATCACCTGCGTGCCATATCCTTCATATCTGAAAAAATCCTTTAATTTAACAAGCCTGGGAAGTAGACATCATCTCATTTCATCCATTCTAGGGCGTACCTTGCATTTCAATATTTCTGAAATAAGGATGAATCTTGTAATAAATATATATTTTTCTTTGCCTCAAATTTTAATTTTCCTCAAAATTTGTGGATTAATACTGCATCTAACATTCTTTCTATCCAAGTAATATGAAATTCCTCACATTTAGCACAAAGAAAAAAAAAAAGCCTAGAAAAGGTGGGAATGTGGACTTGAACCCAGATCTGCCTAACAGCAGAGCCATAGCCTTGGGTAGGCTTAGGAGCTATGATTAAATATGGCTCAGTGCAGCATATACTTAATGCAAATCCATTGCCTATTTCCCCCCTTCCAGGAAATGTGGTCTTTGGAGAGCCCATTACTGCCAGCCTTGGTACAGATGGAACTCATTACTGGAGCAAGAACTGGGCCAAGGCGGCTGCATTTGTGACATCCCCGCCTCTGAGCCCTGACCCGACCACTCCTGACTACATCAACTCCTTGCTAGCCAGGTTGGTGCAGGATTGTAGAGCTACAGGGGTTTTGTGGGGGCATCTTGGGGCCAGCTGGGATGGGGGCTGCAGTTGTTCCGTCCACCAGCTAGAAGTTCTCCTGCAGGCTTGAGTACAGAACACAGGCTCTCCCCCATTGTATTTCAAATGATAATACAGTCACAATGTGGGTAATGGTCACAGCAGTGAATACCTGTGTGTGCCCAGCTAGGATGAAACTCCACACATGATCTCACCTGCTCTTCCTAGCAACTTTACAAGTGAGGCTCTGCTATCCCCAATTTACAGATTAAGCAACTCTAAGCCAAAAAAGTTAAAATAATTTGCCTAAATTCAAATAATCAACCATGATGACACTTAGCCAAAATTATAGGGATACTCATTTGTTGCTCTGTGTACATGTAAGATCAGGCCATCACTCCTTTGAGGTCCTTTGGTTTTGCTACAAATGAGATGATCTCATCCCACCCCCTCACCTTCCAGATGAGGTAACTGAGCCTACAGAGGGGAAAAAGCTCATCCAAGCTCACACAGACAGTAAGGATTAGGAAAGGGATTTCAAACTCTGGCACTGGACACTGGACTCTGGTCCCCGAGGGGCCCCAGCCATACCATCTGTTCACACAGAGCTCTTCTCCTTTTCCAGTGGGGATCTTCAGCTCTCTGGCAGTGCCCACTGCACCTTCAGCACTGCCCAGAAAGCCATTGGGAAGGACAACTTCACTGCCATTCCTGAGGGCACCAATGGTGTGGAGGAGCGGATGTCTGTCATCTGGGACAAGGCCGTGGTAAGGGACTGAGGTCATGACGGTGGCCAGGACCCAAATATCCATGGGCCAGATCAGAGCCTCCTGTACCAACCAAGCCTGAGGCACAGCTCCTCCAGCCTGCCCTGGGGAGGAGGCTCAGGGTTTGGGTTGTAGGGACTTACCTTCTAGTGATGAGTCCTGAGGTCTAGGATTCTAAGGAGACCTTCATCTAGAATGTTAAGAATTCAGAACCAAACACACAGCTCTTTCACCTCCCTGCATGCATCATCTGCAGTTAGAATACCAGTGAATCAATTCTTTTCATTTGGAGCGTTCTATGGCTTCTTTTGAAAGGTCTACACATAGCACTTTGAAATGGTAAGCAGTGATTCTGTACCCAGTCATCCTGCTCATCAAGGATGCCCTGTATTGCGAGCATGAGATCATCCAGGCTGCTGTTTACCAATGTCTCTGGCAAAGTGGCCTCACTTTTTAATTGTCCTCATTTACATCACAAGGGCTGGTAAAAGAAATAGCCAAGTAAATAAAGACCTCTCCAAGATTTTAGTAAATTGACTGAAACATCATTAATAATAAATTCATTATTAAGTCAATTACTTCCCTATATTCAGCACCAAATAGAATACATATGAGCTAGTGCCCCATTCATCTACATAGTTAACCCATGGACTCACGTCTCTTCTCGGTCCCCAAGAAGCTCAAGGCTAGCCTTTAAATGCAGTTCTTTCCTTACTCAGGCTTTTTATTGAAAAGGTAAAATATGAAACCTTTTGTCTCTTCTTTCACATAGTTAAGCTTCTGTATTTTTTTACACTGTTCTGTATTTGTGAATGTATGTACATATGTATGTAGGTATGTATGCATGCTGGCACTCTACAGATTTGTTTAAAAGTAATACACATCCTCCTGTGCTGCATAATGACATTTAGGTCAATGATGGAGTATATAAATGGCCCTGTAAGATGATCTCACTTACTGATAGCCCAGCTTGGTTTGTGTAAGTACACTCTATGAGGTTCACGCAAGGACAAAATCACCACCAACAGTTTTCTCAGGACATATCCTCATTGTAAAGTGATGCATAACTATATTTTGGAGTTGCCAATGTAATATATGCTTAATAAAAAACACTTGGAAACCTCAGACAAGCATGTACATGAAAAAAAAAAACCTCAAAATTCTGCAACCCAGGGGTAACTATTATTGTCACCGAGGATCTTGTATATTTGTCCTACGAGCACATAAATACACACACACATATCTAAAAAGTCACATCAAAATCACATTTCTTTTTACTGTGAACTCTGTCTAATCCTTTTTGGAATTATAAGAGGTAAATAAGTAAATGTATATACATATCCAGAAAATGCATTCTGCTGGAGCATTAACTTTCATCTTAAACCACGAGTTTACCCTCTTTGCCTGGTTAACATGACAGCCCAGCTCTTCCTGGTGAGGATTTGTGCTCACTAATTCATGGGTACTTCTTTGGATTTCTGATCCTCTTCCTTTGAGCCCAGAAGCCTCGCATTTGTTGATATAGAGAAAGAGATGGATATATAAATTTTTTGTATTTCAATAGGCCACTGGGAAAATGGATGAAAACCAGTTTGTGGCTGTGACAAGCACAAATGCTGCCAAGATCTTTAACCTGTATCCCCGCAAGGGAAGAATATCTGTGGGTTCTGACAGCGACCTGGTCATCTGGGATCCAGATGCTGTGAGGATTGTCTCTGCCAAGAACCACCAGTCGGTGAGTGTGGGCTGGCCAGAGTGCAGGGATGGAGAGTGCCTGCAGAGAGCTTGGCCATGAGAAATTCGTTTGTGTGGTGTGCCAGCATACTTAGTCCAGGGATGGCTGCAATAATGACCCATTCCCAGATCTTAGTGGCTTAAAACTCAAACTGTTTGTTTCTCATTTCTGCTTTCCAAAGTGGCACGGCAACAGAGGGACTGTGTCACTCAGGGATGGACAATGATGGTGTCTCCACCTCTGCCCATACTCCTGTGATTGCTGAGGCTTAGACAGACTCTGTGTTTTGAGAGGAGGGGAAAATATAAATATTTTTGTCACATTCCTATTCATGTGGAAGATAATAATCAAACCTAATACCTTCAAAAAATACTTATTAGTAAAATAGCAAATTTTTTTTTAATATTTATTTTTTAGGTGTTGATGGACACAACACAATGCCTTTATTTTTATGTGGTGCTGAGGGTTGAACCCGGGTCCCTCCCGTGCTAGGCGAGCAGCACTCTACCACTGAGCCACAATCCCAGCCCAATAGCTAATATTTTTAAGCATTTATGTTTCAGGCACTGTGTTTTTAGCTCATTGAATTTCCAAAACACTCTCCCACAGACAGGTACTTTTATTACCCCCATTTTATAGATAAGGAAATGGAAGTACAGAGAAATTAAATAATGTATGCAACAAGTCAATGGTGAAGCTAACATTGAAACCGAGACAACATGACTACAGCTGATGTCCTTAACCACTTTGTAGTAATGTCTCTCCCTTGTTGCATAAGCAAAGCAAGTAGGGAGAAACCCATTCTGAGTGGTAACAGTCTTTGCTTAAACATCACATCATGTCACATAACATGATTTTGAGCCAGCAGGGACCCACGTATTCCCTCAATCCACGCTCTCAACACAAGACTCCATGTAGAGCAGCCCTGGTGGTTTTTCAGTTTCTCTTTGAATACTGCCAGCAACAGAAACTGACAGGTACTTGAAGATCTTTATCAAGTTTGGACACTTTTCTTTGCTAGAAGCCCAGTCTTTATACTTTGTAAGCATCGGTTTCCTTGTGCCTTCTACCCATGACAGCTTGCAGACACACTGTGAGCTATTCCTGGCTTACCTGGTGACCCATTTCCTAGGGACACTGAAGACAACACAAAAGGTAACCTTGGTCTTCTTTTCCTTTCCCTACACCCATGCTGTTGCTTTGCCTCACCCGTCTCTAGGCTGCAGAATATAACATCTTTGAAGGGATGGAGCTGCGTGGGGCGCCTCTGGTCGTCATCTGCCAGGGCAAGATCATGCTGGAAGATGGAAACCTACATGTGACTCAAGGGGCAGGCCGCTTCATCCCTTGCAGCCCATTCTCCGACTATGTCTACAAGCGCATTAAAGCCAGGAGGAAGGTAAGGAGCAGGTGGAACCCCAGAGGTGGGGCAGGGGCTGTGTGTCCCTTTCAGGTTCAGGGATAGTGACCACCACGAGTTTCAGAGGGGCCTGCATTCTCCAGACCCTGATAAAGAAAACTATAGCAGTGATCTCATCTTCAGGAACAATACACAGACTTAACATGCTATGGAAGGGAGTTTGAAAACATTTGGCAAAAAAAAAAAAAAAAAACTTTTTTCCAAATGACTTCCCTATATTTAATAGTGCTTTTATTTAAAAGAATTTAAAATTTCAACATTGCACTGTAATATTAGTTTATTTTTAATAAAAACAAATTACTCTTACAGGCTTAAAATGAGAAGTAGTCTGCACCTCCCTGTCCCTGTCCCAGCTGGCCCAGGATTGCTTCACAGGGGCAAATGCTCACAAACTTGAGTTATTGGGGTCAAGTAAAATCCTATTAATGTCCCTGATTTCACACACACACACACACACACACACACACACACGAACACAGGTGGCTCTAGTTAACTGAGGGATGAATGGGAAAATTCCTTTTCCCATTGGTTCTCCTCCCCTCTTCACTCTCCAGACTACCCTCCTATAACCTTAATCCAAAGCAAGATTAGAGGAGCCCTGAGATTGCAGAATTTGAGCTCCACATTCCAGGTTTTTCCTGATTGAGAAGGGAATGAAACTCAAACTTCCCTAATATCAACTCTTTCTATTAATGTGACTTAGATTCTGAAACCAAAGAAAAGCTGATGATCTGGAGTTCTTGGTTTGGGGAGAACAGATACAGCCATCATTCCATGTGTCATTAGCTTCTGCAGATTGATGAGCTTGGCTCCTGTGCCTGCTCTGAGTCACTGGCATGGAGGGAAGGATGGGCAGCAGCACCCCCTTGGAATTCTGCACTGACCCATGCTGGACTGTCAAGCGCGCCTAGCAGTGGGTCTTCCCTGCCTCCCTCAGGGCCCTGCTAAGACCTAGGTGGAGGTTGCCAGCCGACTGTACTGCTGCTGTGGGTGGTCTGGCAGTGTTTGTCTAATAGACTGTAAGCCCCTTTGGGGAAGGCACTGTGTTTCATGTGACTGTAAACCCCAACCCTTGGCACAAGGCCCAGCACAGAGTACTTGGTTGATGTTGCTGGCTGGCTCCACAGTCCAGGGCAAGTTCACAGCCACAGCTAGAGGTCAGTGGGTCAGACCACAGACAGACTCAAACTTCAGGGCCAGCCAGCTCGTCTATGTGCTGAAGAAGAGCTCCCTTGTGATCCCATCCTGGCCAGCATGTCCAGCCTCACATCATACTGCCGCCCTTCCTAATCGCTGCACTGCAGCTGTGTGATGTTTCTTACACCCCACAACATCTCTGCGTTCAGCTCTTGGTACTTGCCGATCCTCTGCCATCCACACCACTCCTCTGCATCCCCCCACTGGCTTCTCCCACCTCCAATCCCTACCCCATAACAGGGTCTTTGGATCCTTCAGAGGCAAGCTTGTCTTTCTAGAGGGCCCCTCAATGACCTCCTCCATGACACCTGCTTTATTTTGCACTAGTTCTCCCTTCCTTGAAAGTACCTTCGTTATCATTATTATATCCTGGTGCCCCACCCCCAACACACACTATTCACCGATACACTTATGCAACCTAGAGCAGACCCTAAATTGTTGAATGCTGATGTGTTTCTCTGGCTGCAGATGGCGGACCTGCATGCCGTCCCAAGGGGCATGTACGATGGGCCTGTGTTTGACCTGACCACCACCCCCAAAGGGGGCACCCCTGCAGGCTCTACCCGGGGCTCTCCCACTCGGCCAAATCCACCTGTGAGGAATCTCCACCAGTCCGGATTTAGCCTGTCAGGTGAGTGGGACAGGTTGATCCAGGGAGGAGAAAAGGAGGAGGGAAATGTCAGTGTGCACCCTCGAAGCTAGAGTGTGATCCTAAGAGCTCAGCCTGAGTGTTTTCCAGCCCAGAGCTGGGCACAGTCTTTAGGGAGAAGGTTACTAGGGCAAACAGGAAGGTTTGCTCTATCAGTGAGAGTGAAAAAAAATCAGACAAGCCATAGTCAAGTTAGAGATCAAGTTCAAACGATGACAAATTCTGCTCAGAGATCAGACCTGGCTGGGGTTAGAAGCAGGCAGAGGAGTTGATTTCCACTATGAAGTGATTTTCTACATTAACCTATGAGAATTGGGCAGTATGTTGTGTGTGGGGGGTGTTTTTTTGTTTTGTTTTGTTTTTAAAAAACTGTTCAGGGTTAAAGAACACTCAGACTATTTTTATCCTTAAATAGCAGTAGCTTCTTTTTTTAAAAAAAATTTTGTTTTAGTTGTTCAATGGACCTTTATTTTATTTATTTATACATGGGGCTGGGGATCAAACCCAGTGCCTCACACATGCCAGGCAAGTGCTCTACCACTGAACCACAACCCCAGTCCAGCAATAGCTTCTTTTAATGTAGGATTTTTATTCTAGTCTCCCTTCCCTAGTAGCAACAATGCTAATGGTAGTTTCGATTGATTGGACATTTGCCATGTGTTGCCTATATTATTAATCTTTTCTTTAAGAACGTTTCTACAAATAGAAAATAATCATTCAAGGGCTGGGGCTGTAGCTTAGTGGTAGAGCACCCACCTTGCACTTATGAGGCACTGGGTTCTATCCTCAGCACCACATAAAAATAAATAAAGATATTGTGACCATCTACAACTAATATATATATATATATATATGAAATATATATATATATATATGAAATATATATATGTATGTATATGAAAATAATCATTCAATTGCTCCATAATGAATAGGATTCATATGGGGAAAAATGTAGATTTGCATCTCTACAACACACTATTTAAATGTGAGAGAAGCAAGATAATATGAAAGAAAAGATATATTTAAAGGGAAAATCTCAGTCTATAGGGAAAGGAAAATCAGTGAAGAATGGAAGAAGCAGGAAAAACAGGGAGGAAAAGAGATGAGAGAAGTAGAGAAAGACAAAGGAAAAGTGCTTAAGATTTTATGAATCTTTGCCAGGGGTCCGGACGTCCCAGGAAACTTCGTATGTGTGTTGGACTCATTCCATTGCTCCCTGGCTCCCTTAATCCTTAAGCTTTCAGTGGCTCCTTTCTGAATGGATCCAGGCACAGGTTGATGCTTTCTTTTGTGTAGCTGCAGGGACCTGACCACCCCACTTCAAGCTGTGGGGTGTTGGGCAAGTGACTGCGGCTCTCACACTGGTGAGACTCCATGGGGTACCCCTTGAACTCTTCAACATGGCCAGCCACAATAATGCAAGCAGCTATCTTTCATATCCTTATCATTGTTGTTCTTCCTAGTATTATTATGAGCCTTAGATGAAATCTAAATAAGAACTTGGCTGTTCCTACCAGAAGGTCATTTTCCAGGGGCTAGGGGAGTGCATATGAAAAGTTCAAAAAAAAAAAAAAAAAAGCTCCATCTAAGTTTCTTGGGAGATGAGGCCAGGGAGACACTTACTCTCTTACAGGGAGACACTTACTCTCTTACATTCTTTAATCAATTTATTTTTTACCATTACCCCTTCTCCACCACAGGCACCCAAGTGGATGAGGGGGTCCGCTCGGCCAGCAAGCGCATCGTGGCGCCCCCTGGAGGCCGTTCTAATATCACATCCCTGAGTTAAGCAACCTCTCCCTGAAGAGAGGGGCAGATGCAAGAAGAGATTTTTTTCCAAGCCAAAATGGTACACCAATGTTTAAGAAGGAAAGCGAATCCAAACGGCTGTGATCTAAAGAATCAATAAGCCTCAAGCCTTATGTTTCTCCATGTTACGCTCGCTTGCCTAGCTTTACGAATATTGCTTTGTTTTCTGTTTATGCATAGCCTTGGTTTGTTTGACCCTCTCCCTCATTTACATGCATGCAATCAGACAGGCCACTAAGGTAAAAGAGTCTGCTATATTATAGTGTTGAGAGCGTGTGTAGTGCTGCATCTTATGACAAGGGGACAGACAAAGCTGGGATGTCAGGAAAATGAACAAAAGGGACACAGATTATTTGGGGTGAGTGGGTGGTGGGAGCCCAGAGCAAGATGGAGGGTGCAGAGGGCTAGGGTAGGGCGTGTAGAAGGGAGGTGGGTGGGCCAGGTGAGCTGAAGGGGTATTGTGTATTGTGTCGATGAAGCGTGTTTATTTTCATGAAAGGTGGTCACTTGTGGCAGCCCTTACTTTATCACAGTGCCCCAGGGTCTGCAGAGAAAGCGGGGATCTTTGGGTTCTGGACTTTGTCATGTCCCTCCCTAGTAGATTTTGTTCCTTTGAATGCTAATTAAAACGCCAAAACCCAACCATTTCTTCCACCTGCTTGATTATGCCAGTGTTTGCTGGGGCCTCTTTCTCAATGTTGCTTTCGAACCTTCTTTCCTGGTGGTGGGAAGGCCAGACTGGGAGAGAGCAAATGACACTTCTCTTCCTCTAGTCCTTTCTGTCTCCTTGGTGCTCTTGATAAGTAGTAGCTGAGAGCAAAGCACAGGTCTTCAGCATGGAGGGCCGCAGAAACCTAAGTTCACTTCCCTATAGACATGGGAAAAGTCACCTCTCCACAGACGAGAAGAGCATGCGTCTGGCATCCTGAGACCAGATTTTAGCTTGCGTGGGGCAGAATGAAGGGCCTCTCTTGGCAGCAGTGAGTGATGCTCTTGATCTCCTGAGATCAGGCACAGCATGACTAAAAAGGAGTTATTCACTAACTTTCACTATGAAGAGGTAATCTCAGCTTATGTGGGAGTCAAGCAGGGATTTGAGAAAGCCAGTCTGGAGCAGAGGGAGCTCATTACATAACTTGGTTCCATTTTTCAATTCTAAACCATCTATTTCCTCTTCCATTAGCTGATCCTTGGGGGGGACTTTTAGTTTCGGTACTAAAATCTCTGAGGTGAGTGGAAGTGACGTGACATGGCCTTCCTGATGGTACACATAAAAGAAAGTAGCACCAATGTGTCCATTTCCTCTATCAGGCCACCTCTGAAAACTCAGTGATGGACCAAGTTCTATGAGCAAGGCAAGGATGTACAGAACTGAGAGACTCTTATGCAGGAAGAAAATATTCAACCTGGGATCCGACTTCCATGCCGTGGGGAATACAGCTGGTAGAACCCATAACTCTGTGTACTAAGTACTTTGAAGAGAAGAGCAGGCCTCAGACACCTTTTCAGTGCTTAGGAGAAACCATTACCTCTGACTGCATGTTCTGATTTTTTTGTGTGTGTGAGGTTTTTTTTGGTCTGTTTTTTCTCTCTCTCCCTCCCTCCCTGCCTCTGGTGCTGGGGATGAAACCCAGGGTCTTGCACATGCTATACAAGCTCTCTACCACTGAGCCACACCCACCTGCCCCCTAGGCCTGTCTGCAGGTTTTAATAAGTTGAGAACTAGAGAAAAGTGAACACTTGACTACAAAATTATTTAGAAATACCTAAGGAAGAGTATTTCTCCAAGCAAGCTACTTTCTGTTCTAGTCATGAAAAAAAGACTTTCACCTCATAGTAGGGAATCTTGCTATTTTAAGGCTCTTATGGTGCTTTTTTTTTAAGGGAAACTTAAATAAAAAGTAAAATGTAGCTTTAATTTACAATTCAAACATTTGGGGGCCTTTCAAGGAACTCAGAATGACTTTCATGTACAAAGGGAGTTTGCCAGATCTGAAACATACCTCAGGAGCCAGGCTGGGCTTTAGAATAAGCGGCAGTACCAGCCATAGCCACCAGATGGAGGAAAATACACATAAATAAACTAGTCTGAGCACCCACCTGCTGTTCACCACCATCTGCTCTGAGATTACCAGTCCTTGGCCCACTAATCCTTCCAAGCCCTCTCCATGCCATGAGATAAATCTTCCATGAGCAAATGGGTCATCTGCACTGCACTGGGAGTATTCACCCAGGACTTTCTATTCTACACAAGCAGTCCATTCCGTAGGGAAAAAAAACCCTTGATGCTCAAGATGGGCAATGTTTTAGGAAGTCTCCCAATCAATTTCTCTTGCCATTAGTAACATTTAAGTATAGCAATTCCAGAGAATTCCTTGAATATACATTTTCAATGTGTATTCAATTTTATTCTGTTCTATAGACGCATTGAACAGCCCTATACAAGGGGCTTGGGGGAGAAAATGACGATTAGTCATGATGCTCTTCAAGTTCACTGGCATCTCATCCAAGTGTGGAGGGCTAACTGGGTCTTCAGTCTCACTCTCAAGATAGCTTTTTCCACCTCATCTCTTGGCCTGGCCCGTCTCTGAGGATGGCTTTGCCATCCCCCAACCTTCTTTCATTGTTTCTAAGCCCAGATGGAAATCCACTGGAGTCCTGGCTGAGAGGGTCACAGGTGTGGGTAGTTGAGGGGATATCTATGGAACTGTTGAATCAGCTACCCTAGTATGAATGTTTCTTTTTCTCCTAAGTTTCCTAAAACTAGTAGGATTATAGTTAACCTGAAAATGGCTTTTTTCAAAATCCAGTCATCCTTTGGCCTTTTGCTTTATGACTATACCCAGAGAGTCATTCTCACAAGGCCTGAATCCTTAGCCTGGACTCCATTTTGCTCACCCTGAGATACCCCTTCAATAGGATGTATGGTTCCCAATCTTGGTTCTTGCCACAAGACTCCCAGGCCTTCTCCCCTGCATAACCCCAGCTTGAGTCCCAGTTGCGCTCACGGGCTATTCTGAGCAGCCAGTGTTCCTCATAAGCTCCCCCTTTGAGAAATGGTGTGTGGGTGTTCAGTCCTGTGCCTGGTGGATATGGACAGACAGTAAATCTCCCTGTGATCTGTGCTAGCTGTGAGGCAGCTCTGGAACGTGAAGAGCTGTTTGGTTTGAACCGTGAAGAAAACTGTGTATTGAATTAGCTGAGATTAAAGACAAAAAAGAAAAAGAAAAAAAAATTCATCAAGTGACTGTTAATGTAAACCTGGTTATTAAAATAATTATAAAATTACCAACATTGTTTTCCAGGACCCTTCTGTGTGTGATGTGTCTTTCTATCTACTACGTTAGAATTGCACAATAAGACTGAAATGGTTAGTCAGCCAGGCAGGTCTGACAAAAACAGAGTTATCTGGAGGAAAAAAAAAATGTGTGTCTTATCTTTTCACTGAGTCGTTAGTTTGGGCCACAGAATTTGATGACATTATTGTAACTTTAGCAAATGATGAAATTTTTTTTTATGGACCATCAGAGTCAGTATCAGTGTAAAAGGCATCACCATGGAGAATTAACCTGGCAGAGTCCTGGACAGAACCTAAAAGGGTTGTTTTGTGGGTATTATTATTATTATTATTATTATTATTATTATTATTTTATCATCCCTTAAATCCTCGATATTAGCTTGCTTTCTAAGCATGCTCCACTTCTTTTGAGAAAACTAGATTTTGATTAAAAACACCAACTAAGCATATGCCAAAGTATATTCTTTAGCAAACTGATCTCAGGGGTCAAATGAGTGCTTGAAAGGATTATTTGCTGTGTCTACTCCTAGGAGAACAGGAAGGTACATACCACAAGTTGAAGGCTGAGAAATCCTATGATGGAGGAGGCTTTAAAACTTTTTCCAGGGTTGGGGTGAAGCTCAGTAGATGACCACTTGCCTCACATGCACAAAGCTCTGCGGTCCATCCCCAGCACAGCAAATAAACACCACCCCCCAAAACAAACAAATAAACAAAGCCTTGTCCAAATCAGGGCTCTCAAACCTTTTGACTACTAATGATACCCTGTATCATCTTTTCACCTCCCACCAAACTGATTGTGCCAAACCCTTGTGGGGAAACCCTGCTGAATCCAGTTCTAATGTGTGCAGCTCATGTTTTCACTGGAAAGGTGACACTTGCAGAAGGGCATGAGGGTGGAGGGTTGAAAGGAGGAATTTCAAAATCTACTGCAACAGAAAAGTCCAGGGATGGGCAGACTCAAGCCTGGCTGGGGGAAGTGCTGAAGGCTGACATCTGAATGCTGCCTCTCCACCTTGGCCCTGCCTGGCTTGAGTGGGTGCTTCCTTCTGACTAAAGCTCTTTCCATGAGGGGGCAAAGCTGGTCATCAGCAGCCCCAAGCTTTTGTTTTACCTCTTAGTAACCTCAGAGGAAGGAGGCGGTTTCCCTCAGCAGTTCAGAAGAGGTTGACTCTGATTGGTCTGGTTGGATCACATGTGTGCCATGAACCAGTCACTTGGCCAGAAACGCATATTGGATTAATTGCCCACACCTGGTCACATGCCCAGCCCCTGAGTCACCTAAACCATGTGGATTCCAGTATTTGTCATGCCAGAAAAGGGGATACATGCTGGGAAGGCTCTGGCCTCACTCTCAAGCCTGCAAGGCATGAATGTTTAACCCAAAGATGGGTCTGGTTGTAAGCTGGGATAGGTGGGGGAGGAAATGGGAGCCCTGGGGATGGTAATTTCTAATGAATTGCTTTTGCATGTGATGAATCCCTCTTGGTTTGGTAGGACAATGCTTTTGATACAGGAGCACAAAGTGAGTGTACCTTTTAACACAGAAGCTCAGAAACCAGATTCAAAGCTACTCTGAACATACCAGAGTTATTTTACCACCGAGGCTCCCAGTTTGATGTTCAATAAACTTTGGTCTATAGTGTCATGCAATGGCTCAAACTCAGGAATGGTGGAACACCTCTCCTTGCTCCTGACCAAGGAATGAGTGAGCTTTTCTAAGGATTTGAGCGGGTTTAAAGGGAACAGTCAACACTTACAATGAACTTAGGGTGCAGGACTCCAAAAGGAATGAGGTGGCTTTCAGAGGAGCTGGGGAAAGATACATCAACATTTTCACACCTCTGTAGGCCAGAGGTATTCAGTGGCAGAGTCACATCTAATCAGGTGGGAATGAAAACACTGAAGCGTAAAAACAAGGCCCTCTGGTTCCAAGGAACCTTCTGGAATCAACTCTCCTAACACCAACCCATCACAACAGGGATACCAACCATGTGCAAGAGATGGTGAAGACAAAAGGGACAAAGCAACATGCAAAGGTGACAACACATACTTAAAAATCCAAAAGGTTCTAGACCTTGCCCCTTGTTCAGCTGGCTGTTGAGAACAGCACAGCAGGACACTTAATATGACCTGACAATAGGGTTCTCAGGATGCAGGACTTGAGAGTCCACAAGAATTGCCTGGAGTCAGTGGTTGACTGGCTGCTGACCACTGACTTATTGTGAATTTGGGAGGTAATGGAAAACTCCTTTACTCTCTCATTGCCAGAAGTTGCTCTTAGCTGCAAGAGTTCATAGGTGCCTGTTACCTTCCTGTCCCAAATTATAGGATTTGGAACATC